TGTTTTGGTTTCAAATGGGCGAGAGCGCGTATCTAACCCACCTAGTCAGCTGTCCTTCAGTCCAAACCTTAGTTTGGATCTTACATTTGGGTCGTACATAAATTAACACGTTCATTTGTTCTCTCCGTCTGGATAGTTGATTGGCTGGAGGAAAAGCCTTCTTGAAATAAACCACATCCAATAATGCTTCGTGTCCTGACTTGATCATTATTACTCCGGATGCACGTATGATTGCAGTGGAGTGTACGTCGGCCAACGGCACGATATTTACATGGATTAGTTAGTAACAGGAAACTAACACCAACACTAAATCATAGATCATCACTCCGTGTCAGGTTTCACTAGTGAGCCTCTTCTCAACGAAGGACTAGCGCGAGAAGCAATACCATTCACAGACGGGCTGCCAAAGATGCCGTACACCTTGAACACGGAAAAATCGACAAAATCGAATGAGCCACATTCTAGGGTTGCGGGATAATCTCTAAACTACAAATCTGTCAGCCTCATCGGTATGATAATTCAGATATTGGTAGGAATCGCTGAAAAACGATTATGACAGTGGAAACTGAGGAACTGTGAGACGGCGAAAAACACGGTTTCTGTAGAGGATTGTCATGCACGACCAACCTCCGTACATCAAGAAAGAGATGTACAAAGCCGTCTGATTAAACATATTTAGTGTACTTAGTCAATGTTGCCTTCAGCAAAGTATAATCAGACCCTACTCAATCCGAAAAATCTATGAACTTCTGTGCCTCTTCTAAGGCGAAATACATTCCCAATGCTCCCAATGAAAACTAAAGCTTAGTGGAATACCTCAGGGCTCCGCTCTAGGCAATTTCCTTTTCATGCTTGTGTAATTATCGTCCACATATTGTTAAGTTTCAAATGCTGCCGTACACTGATAACAGCGAAATTCGACGAGAAGGAACAGGAGATGCAGACAAGTGAGCACCACGGGACGAAATATTTTTTCTGGTTACCCGACCTAAATTGTGGTTAGTACCTTTCAACGCAACCAAGTGTGCATGCATGTAAATTGGACACGCGAATATGCATAGATACAATACCTGAGGACTATTTGTGCCTTTATTCCTGTTCTACAATTGTCAAGTGTTGATAGTGAGTCACTATTTTCAAACTACAGCCCAATTTCATGTGCTTTCAGGAAATTAGTTCAGAACTCCATAGGCAGTAAAGTCGAATTTGAATGTGGTCATATTATATTAGTCGAACTCCGCCTTTACAACGATAATGTTATTTAACCACGATTAGATCGCTAGCTAGTGCTCCAGTTGGCTTGTTAGTTTTAACACGGTTTATTTTAGTGCAGAGAGATTTACTCGACCACATTACTGCCCAAACATAATATGATTTTGTAATGCCATTAATCACTCGCAATGATTAGTCGTGTTGAATGATGGGGAGCCCAAATCGATTTAGGTTATCAATATATCGTGCGTTGACTGATCTAATCTGGCAAACAGTTGAAGGGGATGTTGAGCACGGCGTTCCCACTCGTGATCTGGTGCGGATGCATGACCGAGCGCCTTCAGTTACGTTAGTCCACTAAAACGTATGTGGTCAGCATCTAATGTCGAAGACTTAGTGAGCTATTGATTTGGGGGATTTATTTACCGCTACAAGCCACTGCCCCCTAGTGGGGTAGTAATGACCCTAAGACATGGGTAGCCAGAAATTAAAGCCCAACGAGCTTGTCGTTGGTAAACACTCCTCTGATAGCTTGGTTTGCTTCGCAGCGTCTGGTCATCTTTTCTTACTACAAGGGATCATTTAGTACAACATAGTAATAAAGAAACAAGGTACAATGAAAATTTCGGTTCATTGTAAGTTCGTCGACGCTTTATTTTCGTTTCAAGCCGTCCTGGAAAAGAAGAAAGGGATATGTTAGTGCCTGTCGAAAGACAGTTGTACGCCGGTAAAGACACAAAGCGGGTGAAAAAAAGGGAAACTCATGCACATACGACGGCGTAAAAAAACGATTTTTACATAATGGTTTCTTTTATTTTTGTTTAGAAAAGATTTGATACACATATATTACCAAAAAAGGTTTTTGATAAATGTACAGATGTAAGCATATTAAAATTGTTTTTTATATTATATATAATACAAAGAAAAATCGAGACAAAACAAAACGTTTACTAGTGTCGCACGTGCAATAATCGTTCAGACGTTCTGGAAATCTTACTCTTCTTCCATAACTCGTTGATTTGAGTCTATTTTCTGTTACTGCCAAAGCATCTCCGTGTGTGTTGGATATCAGATGAGGTATCATGAGTGTATTAGTCGTGTCTTTCGGTTGTACCGAAGGAAAATCGACATGCATAGGGTTTCCTTCAAAATACGTCGTTGGATGCGGTCGATGCTGATGCCATAGTCAGTTCCCTTCTTATCGACTATATGGTCCCTCGTATGCTGATTCGAAAGGTCATCGATGCGAGTCTCGACGAACGAAAACGTGTGTAAAATATCGTAAATCAGGTTGAACAAAAACGTCAGTTGACTGCGGAAACAGGTTTAACTGAACGCATTGCGTTTGTAAGCCTGTTCGTGTAGGAGGTTAGATCCATGTTCATTGAAGAGGATGAAGGATCCATGAATTCTCCTGAAAGTCGAAGTGTCATTCCATAAACGAGCTGAGCCGCAGAGTATCCATTGTCAGGTTTCACTGCACTGCGAATACCTAGTAGGACGAGTGCAAAAGCGTCAGTCCACTGAGAAATGTTTGCAGCTGATAGTGAAGCTTTTATTTGCCAGTGAAAGCGTTCTACTAACCCGTTTGCTTGTGGGTGGTAGGCCGTCGTTCGGAAGCGAGTGGTCCCTAATAGTGTGTTCAGACAACGGAAAATTTCAGAATCGAACTGACGTCCGCGGTCTGTAGTTATGGTTGAAGGCCAGCCGAAGTTAGCTACCCATCGTTCGACGAAGTCGCGGGCCACTGTTTCAGCAGTGATGTCCTTGATAAGCACTGCTTCTGGCCATCGAGTGAAACGGTCGACGCAGGTCAAGTGATAAGAGTATCCATTTGAATCTGGTAAAGGTCCTACCAAATCCAGATGAACATGGTCGAAACGAGCATCGGGAGTTTTAAATGAGCCTAAGGGACATTTATTGTGTCTGATAACCTTAGATTTTTGGCAGCTTACACGGGAGCGTGCCCACTCCCTCACGTCTTTATTCATACCAGGCCAGCAAAACCGTTCTGCTATAAGCTTGATGGTTGCACGAACACCTGGATTAGAAAGTTTGTGCAACGTATTGAAGACGTTGCGTCGATAATGTTTCGGCACGATTGGGCGATTCCTACCCGTAGATGTGTCACACAGTAAGGTTTCCTTCCCTGTCCCCATCTGTTTGATGCGTAGTTTGAGGGTTGTAGATGATAACTCGTGCTGAAGATCAGTGTCTTCTTTTTGAAGCTCGGCGAGTTTAAGAAGGTCGATTCCTTGGAAACTGTTCAAGGAAGTTATTCGAGATAAGGCGTCTGCGACTACATTGTTTGCTCCAGAAATGTGTTGGATGTCTGAAGTAAACTGAGAAATGCAGTCCAGTTTTCGAGACTCACGAGTGGTTAATTGTCTTGATCTGCAGTCATTGTTGCTTTAGCGACATGTTCCTCAACTGTGGAGAATGCTTTTCTTGCGGTGTCATCTAAAGTGGTGGATTTCGCATTTCCACGAAGTTGGTCGGTTAGCGGTTTCATAAGTGACGCGCATTTCGGTGTAAACCGTTTATAGAAACTTACTAGGCCGTTAGACGTGCGTATTTGTTTGATGGTGGTCGGTTCTGTATAATCCAGCATGACCGCGAGTTTGCTTTTTAGAGGTCGAATGCCTTTCATATTATTAGTGTGTCCTAGGAAATCTAAGGAGTCGATTCAAATTTGATATTTCCGGATGTTTGCAGTAACGCGATGTTTTTGCAGTCGTTCTGAAACAAGGTCTAGATTGTGGAGATGCGAAGTGTATGACATAACTCTGTTTGGTCATTCTGGGTCATTTGAGGCTTTTCTTTGGCTGAAAAAGCCTCGATGTTAGAAGATTTCGTGATTTATAAAATACGGTTGGCAGATGCAGTTAGCTCGTCTGAGGCGTTGTTTTGGAACGAAACCAGCACAGCTTGCACCTGCTGAGGAAGTTTGGACAAGAAAAGGCCATCATCGAAAGTTCTTTGGCCGATAACTTCTCTCATCCGCTGCAACATGTCCGTCGCAGAACCTTGTTGCAGATCGACGTTATTGGGGAGTTGGCCTAACCTTTATCTATCGGTTAAGTCTCCGCGTTTAGGAATAGATCGTTTCAGTGTTTCTTGGGGTTCCAAAATATCATCACTAAAAATACTGGGTGTTACGTACTTGTTGGATTCACGCGGTAGTGCCTTGACTACTGCGAGGAGTTGTGCACGTGTGTCGTTCACGCCGTGCTCGTAGAAGTCGGCTTCTGCGTAGCAGAATCAAGCATTAGTTGGAACGAAGGTGGGGACATAATCGTAAGCTTAATTACTTTGGGTGTCTGTTCCGTAATCGTGAAATATCACGCTCGGGAATGAACGAGTAATATATACATATATATAACCAAAAACACGAAAATATATAACAATATATGATGGTTGAAATATAGCAATAAAATACAGAATTCCAAAATAGAAGAGACTCACAGTTTACGACTTGGTGAACCAGATCACGTTGGGCTCACCAGTGAAGACGTCACAGGTATTCGGAGTTTAGCAATGATTTAACCAGTAACACCTAGTATGAATCGTACCTACCAAGTAGAATCAAAAGACAGAAGCGAGGAGGTTAGAAGACATATTTGATATGCTATCAATATATCGAGAATCCACTGATCTAATCTGCTAGCCAGATTGAAGGGGTTGTTGGGCACGGCGTTCCCACTCGTGATCTGGTGCGGATGCATGAACGAGCGCCTACAGGTAGGCGAGTCCATTAGAACTATTGTGGTCAACATCCAATGTCGAAGATTTACAGAGCTATTGATTGGGGGTTTATTTACCGCTACACTATTGTAGTTATTCGACAAGGCTTATGAGACGATGTTGAAAATTTGGCGCCTATCTACACTATCTGGACATAAGGGAGAAAAAATCAACTGGTCCAAATCGGCTCTTTACGAATATATTGAATATTGTAGTGTTTCCGAAGTGTAACATTACAAATTTATTCGTTACCTGTTTGGTATGGCACTTCGACTTGCTTCACGTAGACTGAGTCCAATAATCTCCTCAGTATATTTTCACTTCCAACAATGCGTAACACATATTTCTAGATACGTCATAGGAAAATCGGGTCAGCCACTAAATATGTCCCTTTGTTTGAAACGGTTCATATGCCGGAGACTAAGGTGACTACTTTGGGAAGTAACGGTTTTCGGATAGCTTCTGAGAACTGGAATACTCCTACATGCACGGTTTGTAACCCTACAATGGTTTTACTCGATTTTAGGTTGGCGTTTGGGTGGACGTTGGTAGTCGATATGAGACAGAATCTAATAATGGTGTAGCTCATTTCCTTGAACACATGGCTTTCAAGGGGACTGAAAAGAGGAGTCAACAGTCTTTAGAACTTGAAGTGGAAAACAAAGGTGCGCATTTGAATGCATACACATCCCGTGAGATGACGGTGTATTATGCGAAATGTTTTGTTGAGGATCTACCTTGGGGTACAGTTTATAATATTTTAATATGTACTACATAGCGGTTGAATTATTATCGGATATATTAAAGAACAGCAAGTTTGAGAATAGTCAGGTCGAACGTGAAAGAGGGGTCATTTTACGGGAAATGGAGGTTTGTTTAATCTTGTTTGATAAGTTTGTAGGAAATTGAGAGTAATTACCAGGAGGTCGTCTTTGATTACCTGCATGCAACTGCTTATCAAGGGACACCTCTTGGGAGAACGATTCTTGGACCTGTAGAAAATGTCAAATCTTTGAAAGCCAGTGATATGAAGAATTTTATCAAACAGAACTATAAAGCACCACGAATGGTGCTCAGCGCTGCAGGAGGTATTTGAAGGATTATTTCAAGCTAATATTTCAGGAGTCGACCATAAGCAACTATGCGACCTCGCGGAGAAACATTTTGGCGATCTCCAGGCATCTTATCAGGAAGGCGAAGGGGTACCAAGCATACAACGCTGTCGTTTTACAGGCTCTGAGATTCGTGATAGAGACGATGCTATGCCAGTAGCTCATGCTGCGATAGCGTTCGAGGGTCCGGGTTGGCAAAGTTCAGACACATTAGCACTGATGGTTGCAAGCAGTCTGCATGGTGCTTGGGATAGAAGTTATGGGGGAGGATTTAATGTTGCCAGCAAGCTGGCCTCCAAGTTTTTTATGGAAAATTCGGTACACAGTTTCCAGCATTTCTTTACTTGCTACCATGATACTTCTTTATGGTTAGTAGTGTTTTGGGTCCATTAAGTTAAATTAAACCCATAACAACGTTATTTATATAGTTGAAACATGCATTGTCAAATGTTGTTAGCAATAATTCAACAAGAAATATATTGCTTATTGTTGCGAAATTTCATGTCCACATGAAGAAAGGAAATCGACTAAGGATGACAGGAACTAAAATAACTGACAAATATTGTACAATGTAGCAAGTACCTAACCGGATTCTAGAATCAGCTTCGAACTGTGTAGGATAGTCGCAGACTATAACTCTACACAGTTATCCCAGCTATTCTTAGTTAAACTTCCTGCTCTAATTTATTAATTGAGTCATTTATGAATGAAGAAAGTATTCGTTTCTCATTGTATACTTCTCAATTCCCACCAGAAGATATTGATCTCTAAACCACAAAGCTTGCTTCGATCAATGTTGCAGGAAATTTCAGGTTCGAAACGAACAAAGTGGGGTCAGTTTCAAATGTCCTTAGACTTATGTTGTAACATTCCTTACCAACACAAAAACTGAGTATTAAAAGCAAATGTAAAAGTAATTTTCGGTGCAACGAAGAACGATATGCAAAATATATCTGATATAATCGTATGGGATATGATTTTAAGTTTTTTATATCAGTGCGTCAATTGGTTAATGTGATCAGACACTTGGCTTCGTATGACTGACTAGTATGGTTAGTCTTGAGCTTCTTTGCATTGCATTTCTTAATGATTAAAATTTTTCAGAAACCATGGTGTCAGGGTTTGCATTTGATATGAATCTTCTTTGAGTTTTGTAGGTTAGTCATAGTACCCTCAGTTGCTAGGTCACTGTACATGATTGTGTCCATCAACCAAATGCAAATATCACCATTTACTTCGTCACGTTTTAACTACGCGTCTGATATGACAATTGGGGTAAAACCCAAAAGGCTAGTGAATTAGTCTAAATGGATTTAAAGATAGACATACTCATGGACCGGTCTGGATTAATGTCTAGTTTGGTGCAGAAGATGTAGTTAAGCGTGGCAATCACCTGAGATACTTGAGTAGTCCTATCAGCTCTGGTGGGTCGTAGTCCACTTCGAGACCAATAGAAAACTCTCTCCTGATTTTCGCCAAATTATCTTAAGGATTATGTTTGTGTTACCGCTAAATGTCTTCATTTACACGACACGGCTTATGAAATAGATGTTCCTTAATGTGAGTTATGTTTCGAAAAGCCTTTTTTATCAAGGCACATGTTTAATTTGGTGAACCAATCAATACATATGTTGGTATCATTACCAAGGTTTAACTTGATAATTTCAAATAGATTGCGCATTGGGTAGATTGTTATAGATAAAAATAGTATATTTTTAATATCCCAAAGAGTAGGAAACATAGATTTTCTAACGTTTCGTGACTCAGTATAAACCACTTCAGAGAACATAAGTTTTCTACCCATTGGTGTATTACAAACATTTTTATTTACGATACATACGTTTCTCAATATTCATTGTACTTTTTCTTCGCACATGTAATACTTTCATTTTTACTTGTATAAGTTAGCCTGTAGTTATATATCTCACTACTCGTCCCGAAATTTTTAGGGGAGTTTACTTAACAGCAGAAAAGATGGGTTTGGGTGAATCTGTTGGAGAATTCCTTAAAGAATTTGTCCGTATGTGTACTCAGGTTACTCAGCATGAAATCGACAGAGCGAAGAACCAATTGAAAACACATCTTCTTTTGCAGTTAGATGGCACTACACCTATTTGTGAAGAAATTGGTCGGCACATGTTGGTGTATGGTCGTCGTATACCTATAACTGAATTGCTAGCCAGAATTGACGTAAGTTAGACTTAACGTACTTGGCATTTCCTTATTAGCTTCGTATCGAAATTGCTTTCTTCCTGGGTTGTCAACTTAACTCTTATTTGGCTTATTTATGTTAGTAACTAAAAGTTTGTTTACTTGTTTTCTCTGTTAAAACTTCATTCTGTCCATGATTCTACACATTGTTAAGCTGACAGCAATGTAATGACTTTTCTCAAACCATTTTCAGTTAGTTTATATTTATCTATAGAATGAGCAAGTTTTGTAAGATAAACTCATTCGAGGTTCTCGTACAAAGCCTACGAATTTAAAAAGTAGTTGATTTTCCCTGACATTCCGTCTGTAGTCTGTTAGTTTCACTTCATCGTCTGCATTATTTGTCATTTTTTGATAAAAAAAAATATGGATTGTAACCAATGTGTCAAGAACCATTTATCAAATCGGTCATTTTAAAATTATCACCAACTGTGATCCCTCTAATTATTCTTTATCAATTACAATAGCACATATATGAATGTCGTTCATTTTAAGTAAAGAAAAAGAAGAAATACAGGTTTACCAATGTTGTACTTCATTTTGCTTAGTTTCTGATCATAGTAGTGAGTTCACAATATTTTTGATACTGGTCTTTTTATAACAGGTTTCTACCACCAGTTAACTGTTCTTCAGAAAGTGCGTTCGACAGATATTGTAGTACTAGCCGGAGACTTGAATGCTCAGGTCGGGCGTCTAGGCACAGAAGAGGGTCGTTTAGGTGGCCGATGACGAGTTGTTGGTCACAGGACAGATAACGGAGACCGTCTACTGCAACTGTGCACAGACCACAATCTGTTTCTGGCTAACAATAACTTTCGGCATAGTCATCGCCGATATGCCACCTGGCGTCCTCCCTCTGCATCTCAAGCCTGGACTCAGATTGATCACATCGAGATCAGCTACCGCTGGCGTGGTTGTGTACAAGACTGCCGCTCCTTTTGGAGTACCTATCTGAACTCTGATCATGCCCTGGTCTGCGCCAAACTTACCTTACTTTTCAGTGGCCAACGAAGTGACCACCATCAAAGGTTTGATGTCAGCAAGTTGGTTGCAACTTCTGTTGTAAGTAAGTATCGAACCGAACTAGCTTCTAGGCTAGCTACCATTCCACTGAAAAGTATAGATGAGCATTGGTTGCAATTGCATGACGCCATGAAAATGGAGAGTAAAGCCGTTTGCAGGTTCGCGAAACGTCCCGCTTATAAGCACTGGATTCCTTCAGGCTCCTTACAACTCATCGAAGCCCGTCGGTCTACTCCGGATAACCGTGAGTTTGGCCACAAACGAAGGATGTTACGTAATGTAATCGGGCAAAGCTTGCGTAAGGACCGAGAAGCCTGGTGGTCGGAGCGTTCTAATGAGCTGGAAGCAGCAGCTGCATGTGGTAACTACCGGAAGCTCTTTCAACTCATCCGAGTCACTGGCAACAAGAAGTTTGGTGTGAGTGAGATCATCTGTGAGGATGACGGGATGCCAATCACTAACATCCATCGGCGTCTTTTACGATGAGTAGAATTTTTTGAAGGGCAGTTCAACGGGCCTGCTGCTCCGGCAGCATCGGTCAGACTGTCCTGGTGGTGGTGTGAGTGATGAGATCAATGCACGTATAGTGAAAGCCAGAGCGGCTTATGCCAATCTGGGCCATCTTTGGCGCCTTCATGATGTTAGTCTGGCTGTAGACGGTCGGATCTACAGCGCGTCGGTGAGAGCAGTTTTGCTCTATGCTTGTGAAACCTGGCCTCTCCGAGTTGAGGACGTTAGAAGACTCTGTGTTTGATCGTCGGTGTCTCCGAAGGATTGCTGACATCCAGTGGCTACATCATGTTAGTAATGCAGAGGTTCGGCATTGTGTGTTCGGGCACAGAGATGAGAATGCAATTGGTGTCACCATTTCGAAACACCGACTTCGGTGGCTTGGACATGTTCTACGAATGTCGTCCCAGAGAATTCCACGTTGCGCATTAGTTGTCGACTCTGGGACTGGTTGGAAAAAGCGATGTGGTCAGTGTATGACATGGCGTCGTGGTATGAAAGAAAGCTGCAAAGGGCTGACTTGTGTTGGTCCTTCACGACTCCCTGGCTGGAGTCCGAGAGATGGTGCAGCACAGTGGCCAGAGACGTTATCAGATATGGCTCAGAATAGAAGCCAGTGGCGATCCTGCTGTAACCTTCTATTACTTTCTTCATAAAAAGTGGTTGTATCTTTCTTAACTGATAGATTTCTTCTGACTGTACCTTTTCGTTCCCCCCATTGTTATTATTATTACACTACCTTACACTAATCTGTTCGTTATTGTCCTTTTTTTCCGTTCTCTTTAAATTCTCATTGTTTTGTGTGGCGCATATATATTTGATGCCCTCTTGTACCAATATTTGTGTTCAAATAAATAAATTAAAACAGGTTTCAGAAATATCTTCTGGTCATAAATGTCTTGATGTTTGTAATAATATCAGTAAGATAGATATTAAAATAAGTTTGCATGCTATGTGCATGCAAATCCGACTCGTTATTGTTCCTATTTGCCCCCAAATGCCCTGGTACAGCCGAGAGTGGGGAGAGTCCGCCCTCCCTCTTGAAATGTTCTAACATGGCCACGCGTATATAGCCTCTGCCAGAGAAGTCCTATTTATTGCCTTTTCGTGGTGGGGGTGTTGTTTGCGAACTTGAGAAGACGAGAAGCTAATGTCCGGCGCTTTAACCGGGTTGGTAGACATGGAGAGTCCACCTATGGGAGTTGGAAAACCCTGATTCTAAACCAATGGTGCACATGGGCTCCAGTATCCTGAGGGAACAAATGGCGTATGAACCAAACGTTGGTAACCGGCTACCATGGGACTGGATCTCTTACGATGCTCCACTACCTTGTGGATCAGACGTTCAGGTCGAAGGCTCGGGGAGTGGCTCCCTAAGAAAACCACCTGGTTCGGTTTGGGCACCCGGCAGTATCACATCCCTCACACATATCAAATGAGATTTGTGTGGCGCATATGTATGTGATGCCTCATTGTACTAATATCTATGTGTTCAAATATTAATATAAAACCTGTGCACCCATCAGGCTAGTGCTCTGCTGGTTGGTTGGTGTTATAAATATTTAAACAGTAGATATAAAGCGTAGGGTCAAATAAGATTAAAGGTTGCTTCAGAGTTCAAACGGTGGTAAGTTTTCTGGTAGCTGAACTATGTGCAGTTGGTAAATGTATAAGTTACCCTTTTGAACTTCAGTAATAATTATTTTTACGAAATAAGTTAAACAGTAAATACGATGGTTTTTTCGAAATTTTTGTTAAATATAATACTTTCTGTACGTTTGTTTTCTAGGCGCTTAATGCTGAACATGTTAGGGAAACATGCATGAAGTACTTCTTTGATAAATGCCCTGCTGTCGCGTCCATCGGTAACTGTTTTCATAATTTATTTAATTGTACTGTTAAATGTTGGCATTCACTTACACAAATATGATAGTTATATTTGCTGTTGGACTATTATTCCAGTTATCAGAACTGGTATATTTATTAGATATTTATTGGTTTATTTATACAACTGGAATATAAAAGCAGTAAATTTTAGTTACTAGCATATTGTCATCTGAATGTTTGTTCTTGAATTGCTAAGTGTCATATTGCTTCACGTAGTTATTTTCGTTTTAAGGACTACTGGTACTGCCAAAAGGTAATAGACTTGTATGGCTTAGCGTAAATGAACTGCTTCTAAAAGAGGGTTTATTAAAATAATGAAACCGGAATTAAGATTTCTTTTACCTGACATACCGTCGTATATTTGCAAATAGGCCATGGCAGAGCTGAAGTAATTTTAGGTTTTATGCTTTGTAAAACATGGACAATAAATGCAAATAAGTTGTGCAAAATGGGATGATGTGTATTCACTAACTACAGTCAGTCGACCGAAATTTTACCTATATTTTGCTGGGCTTACGTAGCCTATTTCCATGAAACTTACGCTGACTTACAGGAATTTCGAGATAATTTTATCGTTTTTCGTAATAATCGGCAATGTGGTTTGTTTACTAACAAGCAGTTAATAAGTCTTACAAGGATACTCCTGCTACAGCGAAGATTATTGTAAGTTTGCTAAGGATTTATGTCTGGAAACACCAAATAAAACCTGACTTGTCGTTATTTCGAAGACCATAGGATTTTTTATTGGCTTTGAGTTAATAAACATGGTATTTTAAATATGAACCATATCCGTTACAGTGGATAAGTTTTCGTATAGTTTCGATTCTGTCATATTTATTCGTGTACTGTAATCCGGATATTCCGAACTTAATTATGAAGTTCCGAAAACCATCTTACCTCCTTTTTTCTGTATTCCAGGTCCAGTGGAAACCATGCTTGACTACAATCGTATTCGGGATAAAACTTGGTGGCTTCTTCTATAAAGAAATTGTTGATGTTTAAAATATCAAGTTTTATTAATGTCACTGCTTACAGCCTAATACTTACATAGTTCTGTGATTTCTATTGTACGGTATTATCTTGTGTTTATGTAGCAATATTCGTTTTTTCCTAGAGCGGATTATTTCGACGCTTAGTTATATTGATATATTTAAACTGTGTTTTGTGTGTATATCTGTCCCCAAAAATCAGTCGTACTGTGATACCACGAAATGACTAATAAACGTTGGAAATTTTAATCTAGTACTTCAGGTGCTAAACTCCTGGTGGAGTAATAAAAGTTGGCACAGTGGAAAGCATGTAGAATTATTTACTTAGTTATAAAATATATAGTTTCCGAGAGTACAGTCGAACAGTAAATATGTAGTCATAACGTTTAGCATAATACTGATACTACTAAGAGTAGATTCTGAAGTCAAAGGTTCAGTGAACAGAGACGATATTAGGTATATTTTTATTTACTGCACTAATGTTGGATTCGGAATTTTGTTATTTCAGAAACCCGTACATTTTCAGATCTATAAAATTCCAAATGTTAAAGTCGAACAATCTAAAGTATGTGGTTTTAATGCAGTTGAATAAAGAATTAGGTTAAATACTACAGAACAGCTAAAATGAACAACTGTGTTTGTTAACTCTAGGTAGTCAAACGTTTCTAACTGTAGTTCATTTGCCAACTTAATAAGTTTAAGTAATTATAGACCATTTAAAAATAAGCAATTATGAGCTCTAAAAGTTACTTTCTTAACCGTCATCACTGTTTTTGTGCTCACAGTATAACAGTCAATTATATTTCCTTCTATCCCCTCACTGTTTAAAAGAACAACTTCCTCTCCGAATTCAGGATGTAGGATGTTTCTGACAGAGATTGTAAGAACGCAGTCTTTTTGGGGCATTAACTATAGGTAAAAGAGGCATCGGTTTCATCTAAAAGAAAGTCTTCATTATTGCCACTTCTCGTGACGTATACCTGCTCACATTTTTCTGTGTCAAGCATGATGATGTGAATCAATACCCATCAACAAAAACCCCACTGTAGAAATTACGAAATCTGACAGTTATAATTATTAAGATAAAAACAATAGCTGTATCTAACATCAAGTGCCTTATTTCACAATATAGTTATAAAGGTGTCGCTGTGGTCATCATATTTTCCCGAAACTGTTGCGAAAAGATACATCGGATTCAAGTTAATTGTCAAAATATTTTTATTCTGCAGTTGCAGAACTTGGGAGTTCCTCAGAAGAAATTAGGTAAAACTCTAACGTTACCTGGTAAATTTCGGCAACAAGCAGTGTTTCAAATAAAGGTACTAACAGTTGCTCGATAGTCTATTCAGTGAGAGGTCAACCGGTTTGCGTTTAATGACCCATTCATACCCCTCTAAGATGTTAAGTTGGAGCAGTAAGGGGATATTTAGTAGTCGTCTTCGACGGGCAGTCATTTTAATGTAAATCCAACTAAGTATACCTTTTTGTAACTCTTGTGTGAAGTACTTCATTTTCTCATCGGCAATAGTTGTTCCATAGGAAATTGCTAACGATGGTGCAATGATATAGTCGGTAACGACACATGATGAGTATCCTCAGGCTAAAGTTGAGGTTGGACGACTATTTCAGTACTTTTAGTGAGCAGCTGTTATGTGTTTAAATGAAGGGGTTATTTATGTACATTTTAGTAGTGATCACTTCAGAGACAGGGTCATTTGACAAAGTAATATTGAATTCGGCATACACTTATGGCGTGTTGACTTGGTTACAGATAATACTAACTAGTTAATAATAATGTTACTATATTTCATCAATCGGGAAACAAATGAGTACAACAGTTGTTCTATTGAATGAATGCTAGTCACTGTTGTTTTTCGTACATAACAACGAATCGGGATTTTAGGTGTTGTGACATTTTTTCAAATACGATCAATGGTTTACAATATATCACTTCATATTTTAAATCGTAAAAAAACGGCGTGAAGTTGAGCAACGAGATTACATAATTTATATCAAGTATTTAATTTGTCACATCCCAGTTTATGAATGTAACACTATTTGTTTTTAATTCATACCAATAGTATGTCATACCACTTGCTAAAACTTTCTTCTTTAACTAGTAATCGATTCACCGTGCTGTTTGGAAACTGATACAACAGTAAGCTTGAATAGCATAAATGATTCGGCAATTTACTCAAAAAATTTTCAATAATTTTGTTCTCATTTTAATTCGACTACAGTATTGTTTCTTATGCTATTGAAGCACTGATATCTTGTTTGTTTATTGAGTAAACGGTCTGATATTTACAAGTCGAATTCTATGGTCGCTTGTAAGTTAGTTTGGGAGTTAGTTTACTGTCTATCTACCGTTTCTCCATAATACTTATTGTAAATTTCTAATGGAAATCTACAGATTGTGAGATGACTGTAAGAATATATGTATACTAATCAAGTTGAAAGACGGTGACCATGTAATAAGTTAACTGAATTTGATAAGTGACAGGTTACAGTGTCTAACACAAAAGTTAATGTGGTTATCACAAGAGAGAAGTTTTGTATTCTATCCCAACAAAGGATCTGTAGTAAGAACTTTTATAGAGTTCCAAATCAAGTCAAAATAACTTGAGAGTATCATCAGGTTTGTTAAAGGAATATTATCAGATGTAAAATATGGAACACGGAAACAAAACATCTGATGACTTGTTTACGAAAAAAGAATGGGTGTTACTTTTAATTGGAGGTAAAGTGTTTCGATAAATTCACTAAAAGTTTAAGCACCTCAGAACAGGTTAGAAAATAAACTCACATATGTAATGATTCATATTAATAATGGCAAGAATGCTTGCTTCAAAAATCATATTAGCATAGTGGGATTCATTAGCTAGGTAAAGGTTTATGTACTTTGTACTCAGCCACGCTTTACGTGAGGGGCACTGGCAATATATTACTACCCAAAGCGAGTAACATGAAGTTCGTATCTACTAACGATTACTGTAAAGAACAAGCCGCTACCTTATGGAATATAGAAGGTAGAGTTCTTCATCTCTTTAGTTCTATTCCCAACAGAAATATTATTTTAGAATTGGAAAGCTTAAAAACTTGAGGATTGTTTGAAGTAGTAGAGCTAGTTGTAACCGATCTTTTTAGCATTTTATTTATCGTTACACTAAGGAAGTTACTATTTATGCCGTCTAAGATAAGTCACTTGCAAATATAAAGACATACACTAAAAGTTATTGATAGTTATCACTACTTTTGTTACGTGGTGAGGGAGAGTTTGTGTTTCTATTTTTCCAAAAATATTTTCTGTACTAAGGCCGTTAATACTTATCGAATATATGATGGACTTCTCTAGAAAAATTTATGTAATTGAAGATACTTGAAAAGGTAGTAAGCGGTATATTATTATAATTACAGCGAATACGATTACTGCACTAAAAGCCGAGAAAATGAAAACAGCTTGTTTCCTCGTTTGGTAAGTAGATGTTAACTTTTTACACCAGCGTTTTTCTTATGTTTGTAAGTTATTTCTCTATCTTAAAAAAATATGTACAAATAATTCATGGTACGATATGTTAAATAGAAATGCTAACTTGATGTCATTATCAACGAATCATTTTTCTTTTCAATCAACTTACCATTCATATTAAAGTTAAACATTTACTTAATGTTTACTTTTAGATCCTCATCAGGCTTTAATATACAGTAATATTTATATGCATATACGAAATTATTTAACCAATCAAGACAGTTTGTGAGTCAATGATGACAGTGGAATAGATTACATAAATAAGTGAAAGGTGTAAATTGGTAGTGTGATGACAGGTGTACTAGTTGTGATAAGAATAATAAAGGCTTGAATCAATGTTACAAATCAAATGTTACTTGATGTTTACACACGTATAAAGTTGGAAATATAAACTTTTGTTACCTAACTAAATGGTTTCAACACATCGTTCTCTTTTAAGGATATAAAGGCTGTAACCTAGATTGTGTGTAAAATATATGCGCACTAATTAGTTGTCTCAGATTAAAGTAAAATGGTTGTTTAATATCCACTAAGTTGCAATAATTCTCTAGCTGATATCATTTTGTGGTGAAAACTAGTTACAAATGAGTAATCATAAACTTTTTTTACTTGTATAAATATAATTTACTCATTCTAACTTAAACACAATTGGTGGATAGAAATCAGTTTTAAAAGTAATTGTCATTTTTTTTATAATAATAAATACCAATAATTGTTTAACAGGTTGAAATCATGAGTCAATTGAAGCTAGACCACCATGGAAAACCTGGAAGCACTGGACGACCGTTTCATCTCAGTATGGGACTCCTTAGAAGTGCGCATCCACGATCCCGCACCCCACGGGATTCGAACCCAGGACCTACTGGCTTCGCGCGCGCGCGCACTTAACGACTAGACCACTGAGCCGGCATCCAACAGTGTTAATGTCTAACTTCAACCAATCCACGAAGTTGCGCCACCGTACACCATTGTCTTTAGTGAGCTGATATCTCACAACAGACCTGGTTGAACTCCACTGGTAACGGCTTCTCACTAGAATTCCAGAAGTATCTCCTAAATCCCACGGGGTACGGGATCGTGGATGTGCACTGCTGAGGAGTCCCATACTAGGACGAAACGGTCGTCCAGTGCTTCCAGGTTTTCCATGGTGGTCTAGCTTCAATTGACTCATGATTTCAACCTGTGGAATTTCTAAAAATCTCCACAAAACCCATTCTGATAATAATTGTTTATCACTAAAATATTGAACTATATTAGAGTTCAGTTACACTAACATTATTCGTCTTATCGTGTTCTGAAACTTTTCTAATATTCTATTTACCACCTCTTGGTTAACCATTAATAAAGTTTGCCATAATTTTAAACCAATAGGATTTTAAAACTAACGACAATATGAAATTAGTTAACCAATGAAAAATAGCGATAATTTTCTAATGTTATAAACTATCAAAGAAGTTTCACTGTTTATTTTCTTTTAAAAAAAATTCTACTGAACTCATGTTTACAATGATAAAAAGTATGAGATTTGCACACAAATAACTAATTAAAAATATTTGTTTAAAATGTTAAAGATCATGCATATTTTTATTTTAATTGCATTACTTTCTTCATGAAAAGATCACTGGAGATAGTGTTATCGTCAAAGATAAAATAAATGACATTTTCAAATTAAAAATGGATACTTTAAACATAAATTGTAGTCAATTACATACAATCAATTCTACAAATTCATCATTGAAAATGATTTTATTTATCAATATAAAATGTTTTGCAATTATTGTTCAATTAATTGGGATACCATTAAACTTATTTGTATTACATGGATTACTCAATGTGAAGTTAGGATCACGTTTAACAACACTACTATTATGTAATCAATGTGTATTTGATTGTCTTATTTGTACATTTGCTTTATTAAAAATATTAAAATCTGAACGTTGGTATACAGGTTATATAATTATTGATAGTGTACTATGTTACGTGTGGTTTAGTCACACATTATTTTGGCTGGTTGTATTACTAAGTTTAAGTAATATGATGTGTACAGCTTTAGATCGTTTAGGAGCTGTTGTTTGTAGTCGTACATATCAATTACGTCAAAATATTTACATAATATTATCATATACAAGTATTTCAATTTACTCATTAATATTAATCGCTATCAATCCATTCTTATTACAATATCGTGATCAGAAATGTTATGATACTATATTATATGATAAAAACTGGATATATATATTAATGAAAGTGGATTCTATATTGTGGCCATGTCTTACTTATTTATTTCCATGTGTTTTAACTGTCAGTGTGTATGGAAAAGTTATAGGAGTGTTGAAAAGTACAACATTTCGCCATCAATATAATTATAATAATAATAATAGTTTTAGTACTGCTATCAGTATTAATAGTAGTACCAACAACAGTTGGACACGTAACATATCAAGTCATAAATTAACTGTATCCTATGCTAAACAAAAAAGACATCGTAAAATTGCTCAGTCTTTAACAATAGCTACATGTATTATGCAAACAGTATTTTTAATAACGCATTCATATGACAGAATTTATTACTTTCTTGGTGTACATCGATGGATACTTTATCAAATTGATTGTACAACTCATTTAATTGGTTTATGGCTTGTAACACTGAATAGTTGCATTAATCCAAGTACGCTTATATTTATTGTACGCCCATTACAAATCTATCTTATTCAAACTATTAATCAGTGTTTTTGTAAATATTCAAAACGGTCCAATATGCAAACATCAACAAATTATTTAAGTGAACAACAATCTGAAACGTGTTTAAGCAGAACAGAATTCGGAAATAGGTCAAATGGAATTGAATCATAATCAAGTATCCTGTCTAGAAAAAATTCAATACTATGAGAAAAAAACATTTTCTAATAGGTTTCTATATTCAGTGGTGTGCTTTTTAAATCCCTTGCAAAGGTAGCTTTCTATTGGTGAACATCAACAATGGAATAACAATTATTGCGATAAATTTTTCTCTAAATTGAGCAGATGAGTGCTATAATTTTCTAATTTCACTATTTAGCTAAATGTGTATGTAGTACCATTGAGTCACTTATTACAAAAGAGAGATACATAAATATAATAATTATTATTACTTCTTGTATGTTATGAGAAAATTGAAAGATTTGCTAGTATTCCTACAAAGCTTATCAGCATTATTATAGGAACGAAATTTCATTAATTAATTTCACTTTCTTTGTTAGTAAACATTCAATGCACATTTTGTGATGATAATTAATTTTTAATGATTTAATTAATTAAGTCAATTAGTCAATTACGTTTCAAGTTAGAAATCAGAGTACCGATTTTAGATTCTATATGGCTCGTAACCGGCAGAATTAATTTCCTATTATCATTATTCAAAATGACTTGGCAACAAGATGTTCAACTAAGTCTGAACTCAATACAATGTACTAATGTATTTGTAATTAGAGTGATAACTTTACAATTATTATCACATACATTAGAAAGTTATATCTAGTTTGAATATTTCTTGGAAACTTTGATTATTTAAAGTACTAAACATTAATTTGTCATAAAGTTTGTCTTGTTTCATTTTCAAATCTATCACATTGTCACTGGTAGAAAAAATAATATTGTCAGTTTAATGTTATCTTACTGATTTTGGACAAATTGATGAACGAATACCTCTATATCCAGTGTACAAAATGAGGTTTTCCCTTATAACCATGAAAATTGAGATAGAAATTATTCTAGAATGTTTTGTCGGTTACTTGAAGATTGTAGTCACGTCATCCATACCATTTCATAAAAGTTTACCAATTAAATGTGTAATATTCAATAACACTCATTTAGTCATAATGACTTGTTTACACTAGCGATTGTATTGATTTTAGCATTTCGATCATATGCCTGTACTAGGTCGTCAGTCGGTCAATTTTAAGCAACTTTTCAGGTTGCTATGTCAGCATAGTTAGATGATAATATCAAGAGGGTGTCAGAGTACTAGTTTTACTGCTAGTAACAGTATTAGTAGTAGTGGAAAACATTAAAGACAGACAATATAATTCTAGAAGACAGAAACAACTAGTTGAGTTCAAAGTATATAACAGTTTTAAAACCCAAAATCTAAGAAAAGACAAAAGATGAGTGCACCTGCTCTTTTGCGACCGATTGTCAACCGTATCATTTTCTTCAATCATTAGTTATATTAATTGTGAAGACAAAAATTAGGAATTCTGTACCTAACAACAAGGCTCAATCCAGCAGTCAATGATTTTATGAACTAATGTTAAATCTTGATTCAAATGCCCCCAGATTTCTTCCAATCCACTCCTACCCTAGAAAACATCACTTTTGGAGGTAAGTGATGGTTGAACACACGTTATACATGACCCAACCATCTCAGTTGACACATATTCACTATCCCATCAGACTACTTGTCATCTTTACCGGTTACTATACACTCAACCTTATCAGCGGAAAGTTCTTAATCCGAGAGTTCTGAAGTTAATTGTGTTGGATGGCTTGTGGAAATTAGTTCAATTTGAAACTAGATCTAAACACTGATTAATATTAATTTGGAGAATTATGTTAGGAATGAAACATAATGAATGATCGCATGAGACGACATAAGCTGGGTATGTGGGGTCCTCGGTTTACATCACTCAAAAGCCTTAAAATGAATCGAACTATCTGTTTGTTCAACTCTTCTTGTTTTCTAATGTTTTTCTGGGTAATGTCACCACTCAGCGGAAGCGATCTTCAAATTATAGATTTAATCTTAGCAAAACTATAAAGAACATTTGTAAAATGATTGTTAAACAGTTTGGTTTTGGTCATTATTCTTAGCAAAATAAGTTTTATATATATCTTATTTCCGCCTGTTACCCTTCGTGGGGGAACATGGACTGCCCACCAGCACTTTCCAACGAACTCTGTCCTGGGCAATCGTCTCCAGTTTCCATTCATCCTTTTCATGTCTCCTTCCAATTCTCATCTCAGTGTGTTCTTTGGCCTTCCTCTTTCCAAGTTAGAGCTTGCGCCGTGATACAATCTGATGATTTCCTCAATGTATGTCCTATCCACTAACTCCAACGTATTTTCCGGATTTACTTCTCAGCTGAAACCTGGTTTGTTCTCTCTCACACTAGGCTGCTGCTGATGGTAACTTGCCAACAAACATTCAGTATATTGAGTAAACAATTGTTTATAAATACTTGTACTGTTTTGATGATGGTTGTGGTAGATCTCCATGTTTCGGCTTCATACAGTGGAACCGTCTCGACTTTCTTATTGAAGATTGTGACTTTTACATTGGTTGACAGTTGTTTTGAGTTCCATGTGTTCGTCAACTGTAGGAATTCTATCCTTGCTTCGCCAATCCTTGCATTCGCATCTTCATTAGATCCTCCACATTTGTCGCTGATGCTACTTAGATACAGAAAAGTTTCCACCCCTTCCAGAGTTTCTCCATCAAGTGTGAATGGTTTGGTGTTCTCTGTGTCGTACCTCAGGATTGTGCTTTCTAAATTGTGTATGTTGAGGCCTGTTGATGCAGAGGCTGCTGCTGTTACACTGTGTGACTTGAATTACATTTGTTTGTGTATGGGATAGAAGAGCCAGGTCGTCTGCAAAGTCTAAATCGTCTAGTTCCGTCTAACATATCATTTTATTCCGTGCTTCCCGTCAGGTGTGGAGGTCTTCATTATCCAGTAAACCACAAGGATAAAGAGAGGAGGAGAGTAGGGAGACTTGTCCGACTCCGGTCCTCACTTGGAATGCATCTGTCAGTTGACTTCGCAGTGTAGTCTGTCGTATGAATTCCAGATAATGTTGAAGGTCTTCTCGTGTACTCCATAGTGTGGAAGAAGTTTCCACAATGTTATCCTATCCACACTGTGAAATGTGTTCTCATAATCAAGGAAGTTGATGTATAGCGGTGAGTTCCATTCAATTGATTATTCAACGATTATACGTAGTGTCGCAACTCGGTGTGTACATCACCGATATTTACGGAATCCGGCCTGTTGGTCTCGAAGTTGGAAGTTTACTGAATATTCCATCTGGTCCAACAGCATTCTGTTGAAAACGTTTCCCCGCACTGATAGTAGTATGATGCCACTGTTGTTCTCGCACTTGCTGAGATCTGCTTTGTTTGGTATCTTGATAAGAAATCCATATTTTCAGTCTGTCGAGACTTGTTCTTCTTCCTTAATCCTTCTGAATAGGACGTTGAGTACACTTGCAGTTACTTCTGTGTTTAGCTTCAGTGCTTCAACTGGCATATGGTCAGGTCCTGCTGCTTCCCCACTCTTGATTTGTCTGATGACCATCCTGATTTCTTCGATCGTTGATGGAGTGACAGATATAGGGAGATCTGTGTGCACTGCTTCAGTGTCTGGTGGATTCATTGGAGCCGGCCTATTCAGGAGTTCCTCAAAGTCCTTTGCCCACCTGTTCCACCGTTCTTAGATCTCAGTGATTGGCTTGCCTTCTTTGTCCTTGACTGGTCTCTCTGGTTTACTATATTTCCCTGCCAGTTTCTTTGTTGTGTCACATAGTCGTCGCATATTTTCTTTTCTTGAGGCTTTTCCACTATCGTTGCCAGGTCTTCTACGTATTTCAGCTTCCTGGTTCTAATGTTCTTCTTCACTTGTTTGTTCGCTTCAGTGTATTCAGTCCGTGTCTCTACTTTCTCTGTTCCTGTTCAACTGTTGTTAATAGCCGTCTCCGTGGTTTCGCTTGCTTGAATCTTGCACAGGGCTTGAATGGAGATCCATTCCTTATGATGATGCTTCTTGAGACCCAGAATCTCTCGACACGTTGAAGTTGGTGCTCCTTTGATCCCTTCCTAGTTGTCCTCCATAGTAGTTTCTTCTTTTTTCATTAGATCCTATAAAGCTTTCAACCTGTTGTTGAGAGTTATCTTGAATTCGTTGAGTTTGTTAGTATCTCGAAGGAAGGCTGTATTGAACCTTCATAATGCTGTTTCTCCAGTTGTCCAATGCTTCTTTAGCTTTAGTTTCATCTTGGCCACAACTAGGTGGTGATCTGAAGCTATATCAGTACCTCTCCTGGTTTTCACCTCTTCTATTGACCTGAATAGTTTGGTTATGCGAATACGATCGATCCGGTTCTGTGTAGTGTAATCCAGTGATGCTCATGTAGCATTGTGTATGCGTTTGTATGGGAATAGTATGCCGCCTATAACCAATTTGTTGAATGCACATAAATTTGAAAATCTCTCGCCATTCTCGTTCCTTTCTCCCAGTCAGTTCATGTAGTCCCATGATATCTTCATAACCGTTGTTGTCAATTCCGACTTTGGCGTTTAGATCTATCATCAGGATAGTCAGGTCCTTTCTTGGGCACTTCGCCGTGATCGATTGCAGCCTCCCATAAGACTGATCTTTATCGTCGTCATTGCTATCATTGATGGGTGCATAACATTGGATAACATTCACTGTAATTCCCTTCTTATTTGTTTTGAATGATGCTTCGATGATCCTGGATCAGTGAGATTCCCACCCAATAAGTGCATTTCGTTCTTCTTTGGATGGCACCAGAGCAACTCTCTGTGTGCGGAGCATTTTCTTCTTAACCAGAAATAACAACGACTCTTTCGAATCTATCCTTTTCTGTCCAATAGGTTTCACTGGTTCGGAGAACAGTCATGTTGTATCTCCTAATTGCCACAGCTATTTGATTGGTCCTTCCAGCCCCCCACATTGTCCGAACATTCCATATACCTATATTAATTGTTTCTCCAGTTGTTAGAAGAGGCTTCAGTCTTGTGATTTCCTAAAAACCTCAGCTTCCATCATGAGGCGTCAGAATTCTTCCTTCAACTGTGAGGGTAGAGTTCAGATGGTGTAATTTATTTATTCTGGTATAGATATATCAATTTTGACAACCAATGCTACGGCATGGCATAATTCATAGTGAAAGCAGATTAGTGATAATTATTTTCTGGATCGTTTGGTGGTACTGAATCGATCTC